TCTTAGAATAAAATGACTGAAGAAATGACACAACAGATCTTGTAGACAATGCAATTATAAAATAGTTACTCAAGTAAGTAGTCATCTAAAGTGGTTTCCATGTAACCCTCAGATTATTACCTGATGACCACGGCCTAATTCTAATATCTGATGAACTGCCGCTATATTTGGTTACCTCCTAATTGGCACTATTTGTACGCGGCACCTGTGGTGAAAGCTGAAGATCCCTATGGCTGGCAGAGTAAGAAAAAAGCTCCTTTGGAGAACGCAGAAGCCCGATTCTTTTTTTCTCTACCACTCTTTCCTTTCTTTACCTCCAGCTGTTCTTCCCCTGACATCTCTAGATAACTTTTCCTCCATAATTCAATAATGGGTAACGAGGAACCTAACCACTGTGACAGTGGACGTGCAGAGAAATCTGTCGATGAACCTACACTTCAATCATTCCCGTACCACAACTCACAGTTGGTTCTTACCATTCCAGCAGAAGATCCCACAAGTTAAACATTATGCAACTCAAGTTTGAGGCCTTACTAACTGGATCTACTGTGGGGTGAAAGATATACTTTCAGACACAATAAGATTCTTAATCCTTCAGCACTTGTGCCCAGGAGATTTTAAAGCCCACTTCATTTTCTAAGACTAAATTGTATGCTTTTATCACTCATTAAGCAAATGTTTCCATATATCTGATCCCAAGGAATCATTTACCCACAGACACTATCCTGTTGATATGCCTCATTACCAACCCCTCCGTCCAAAAAAAAAGAAAAATATCTGAGAAGTCTTTTAATGCGTGCTGAAGATGAAAAATAAATCATTTCCTTCTTCCTTTGTATTTTTAAAAGGGCTTTTGGGGCAAGAATAAAAATGAATCTCTTTGCAATAGCTTAAATGACCTTTCTTTTAAAACCTCAAACTGTGAAAAATCATTATTAAAGTTAGTCTTCCACCCGTTTTTGTTTTTGTCTGAGTAGCTGGATCCACTATTTTCAAGCTAACACTCTAAACAACTTGATTCATAATAGACATTTTCCAAAGAAAATCACTCTAGGAACATTTTACTTCAGTATTATCTGACTTGGAATTTAAGACAAGCAAAGATGCTGTAATTTGAGGTGCTCCTTTGTTAGATTTGCCATGACAACTCAGCAGTGCTCGGGAAGAATGCAGCTCACAAGCGGAGCAGAGGTTGGCAGTAAGTAGTCAACCAGGAGGAGGTAACCCACATCACAAGGCAGAGGCTGGGTCGCCCGAACTACTGACTAGGCTGAAGAGTTCTGACTAGAGGAAAGAGGAATGGAAAAAGGGACGAATATCCTTGAAAAATGAGACGAAAATATCCATTGCAATTTCTTGTTAACAGATGTGCTCTGTCTGGCCTTTGTCTCCTTATTATCTAGCTGCATGAAATACTGCTTTTATACCTAAAATTTTGTTTAAGTTGTAGCATACAAACAACATGAGGGTAATATATGTATATATACTACTTATTTTCTAAAACTAACTGCCTAATCCCTATTGCAAGTTGTGTTAGATGTACATTTGTGAGTACTCAGTCAATATTTACCAAACTTACTGATCAAGTTAACTATAATCAACATGATCCTTGTCAATGAATAGGTTATGATTATTGAAAAGCTGGTACCCTCTGACTCCTTTTTGGGACGGTATCTGGAAAAGCAACAGCTGAACAAATGCTACTTGTAGCAGAGCAAAGTAACAGGTGTTATAAAGGGTCCACTGAGATTACTTGCCACCATTACTATTTGTACCTTAGGTTTTTGCAAATCCACATCGCAAGGAAGGATTCTTTGATAATATTTAGCATCAGGACATGAAAGAAGGGATCTTACAATGTTTCTCTAACCCCTAAGCCCTTCGCTTCCATGCTTCCAATGAATATTTACTGCTCTAATATTTTCAGTATCAGTCATTGGAAGTGAACAAATGCTATCATTTTCTACTTAAAACACATTTACCCAATCATAAGGATAAACTGAACATATAATTTTAAAAAGAAACTTTTTAAGAAAAAAAGAATACAGTGATTGCACACTGAGTGGGGGAAATAAATACGCTTATTTGGCAGCTGATTTCACAGCGCAAAGTCCTAAAGCAGAGTCCAAACTGCAGCTTTAATAAAGGCCTCCTACCATTCTTCTGACTAAGACATACTCATTAATTGCCCTCAAGTATCCAAGACGGTCTGATTTGAGGCAAGCAAGACTGCTTGCTTAGATACAATTATGCCAAGCAAGAGGACTGACACGGTGAAGCATTTTACCCCGGGTGTGTAACGCAGGCCGCCCGGACCTTCGGGAGTGCTCACATTATGTCATACAGTTGATGTTACGCTGCACATTCTATCTGCCACCTCTGATCTTTTCTTATATAAACCTTTCAAGAATAAAGGATGTTTCCCAGGGAGGAAAACCATGATTCCCTAACAAAGTTTCTCGGCCATTTCCCTTTTCCTTGGTACTTTTGCAAGCAAAGGCTAAAGCAGGTATTACTAATTTATTCGCTCCTGCCAGCCGCACGGTGCACACTTCCGATGCTCACTCTTCCTCTGGTACCAGGAGCCAATCATAATAAATCACTACAACCTAGAACGTTTCTAATAGCAAATATCCTTAGGAAATGCTCATGTTTTGTCTGATAAAATGCTTCCTTTTAAAATCTTGATTTCTACTGATGTGCTTTGGCAAAAACTGACAAACTTGGTCTGAAATGGAAGAAAAAAAACCCTGGAAAATGTGGGCAGACAAGAACATGCAAAATACATTAATCATTATCATTTAAGTGCCGCCGGCTCTGTTTATATTCACGCACATGTGAATTGCTGAATCTCATTCGATCAACCAATTAAACATTAAATAACTGCAGCCAATTATGCAAATATCAGCAACAATATTAATTTGTTGATCTTTTTGAGCAGATTAGCCTTATATGTTCTTATGCTAGACTATCATGTGCCTTAAATGATCAATTAGTATTACGATAACTAAGTCTTGAGGAAAGGATAATTGCCTAGTTATCACGTGCCACTCACACGGTATTAATCCACTGCAATTAAACAAATAATTGCACAAGGAAAGATGTACAGATGTTCCCTTTAAATCTATTTAATAAGTTAGTGTTGAGGTCAATTTCCCATCTTACTTAAAGGGAATGGCAGGTTGTGTTGTGTTTCAGACCTTCAGTTTCTTTAAATGTATATCATTAATCTTTACTAAGTCTGGTAGGAAGGCTTAAAATGTTCTTAAATTTATCTTTTGAAATATGTTTTTATTGAATTTTTAGAGAGAGAGGAAGGGAGAGATACAAACATCAATGAGAGAAACATCAACATGGATCGGCTGCCTCCTGCATGCCCCCTGCTGCGGATCAAGCCTGCAACCTGGGCATGTGCCCTGACCGGGAATCGAACCAGTGACCTCTTGGTGCATGGGAGGACACTCAATTCACTGAGCCACACCCGCCTGGCAAAATGCTCTTAAATAAAAGAAATCATACAGGTGTAATATCAAAACATTGTTCTCTAGCTTTTGTAATGGACATGTCTTGCCATACTAAATTTAGAGGTGCAAAGTATAAAATGCATTTGTGGCCAACAAATGACTTCCATTTCTCCTAGGAATGTGAGTCTGGTCACTTATGTGCTACTTGACAGGTTGAAATTACCTGGAAGTCTTTTCTAGAACGCTGTATTAAAAACGGGGTCCCGGGACTTAGCCAAGGCAAGCGCGTACCTTTACAGCGCTGTGTGGGGAAGGAGTGCAGGGGACTCACCAAGCACCCGAGGCCTGGAAAGAACAGACTCTCCCAAGCCTTCAGATCAACAATTAAAAGCCCCCTAAAAGATGTTTTTACCATTCTTTTTCATCTCATACTCCCCTAATTTTCATTTTACCGTTCCTATCTAAAAGGACCCCATGGCCAAAAGTCTTTGACAAGAATCAAAGCCCCATCTGCTATGTGCTGCTAAATGCCTTAAGGAAGAATTTTCAGTGCATCGAACTTGTAGGGTTTTTTTTTCCCCCTTGCTTTGAAAAGAGAATAAAATATGATCATCAAGATGAAAGTTATTAGTACCAAAGCAAACCAAAATACAATGTCAGAGCTGACCTTCCAAGGGTAAATGTTTTCTATTTTACTTTTGCTTTCCCCTAGATAAACCAGGATACAATTTTAACTCAGAGCTCCTAAATGAGGAAAATGTCTATGATCATCCGGTCCCCCTTCAACAGAAAAGAGCACCTACAAAACCAAAGGTATAAAAACCAGGTCATACCTCTCTTTGCCTCCTGCTAAAAAACTCATTACAATGATTTATCTTGTATTTAACACTTAACATAGAACATTTGTCATTTCCATTTGGCTGGTAGGATATCATGACTTCTCTGTAGAATTATAACTTCAACTCCAAGACAGTCTTGACCTACAAAGCTCCGTGCCTCTGAGTCTCTCTAATGACTTAGCAGTCCATCAAAACTAAAGACAATATGAGGTAAGTATACGCAAAGTCAGAATCGATCACCATTCTACCGGAGGGGTTTCATAATATAGAAACAAAGAAGGTTCACTTCTATAGAAGGTAAATATTCATTTATTCATTATTTACTGAGTACCCATTATGTGCCAGGCATTGCAGACACAGAGATCTCTAGGGCACAGGACCCTCAGTGCTGTAGTGGAGCCCAGCAAGCAGCCAGTCACAACACAGTGTGGAAGGGGCAGTGGTGGAAATGGGCCCGGTCTTGCTGACACACGAGGAGAGCTTAGAGCAGACCGTGGCGTCAGGGAGAAGGGAGACACTGACCTTAGGATGGACTTGGGGGCCTGCAAACAAACGCAACGTGAGGAAATCCAGTGTTTTGGTTTTAGAAAAACAAACTTTCTGAGGATGAAAACGTGTCACAGGAAGTGTAACCTATGAACTTGACTAAGATCCGCTTCAAACACACAAAAAACTCATTTGGTTGAGGAGCAGAATATAACTTTCTCTAAAGAATAAACATTTTTTATTTGAGTGAAGTACTAAGGGAGGCACTAAGATTGCTGAGGGAATTCCATGCTCTAAAGCTTATATTATCGTCTTTCTAGGGGAAGGGAAGATAAGCTTCTACCACCAAGTTTACAAAACACCATTTGATGATTGCAATTCATTCTCTCTGGTATAAGGAAACCATCACCCCGCTAACACTGATAATATAAATTACATTATGCACAACCAAAAATGGGCGGCGAAAGAATCAATCATAATTCCAAAGCAATAGTCTGTCCCAATAGCACACAGATAATATCCTGCATTTTTCCGTTCAGGATATGACGATTGTCCAGTCGCTCTCTTCTCTTCCGTACTGCAACAAAAACAAGAAAATATATTTCAGTGTATAAGCTTACAGCGCTGGAGTAGCTTATAAATAAATTCGAAACAAACAACATTGTACAAAAGGTTTGCTTCTGTTTTGAACATAAAAAGTATATTCACATTAAAAATAAAATTGGACAAAAATAACCAAATACCTGGAAAGAATCATACATTTTATAATTATCATTGAAGTCAAATTTATAGTTGATATAGGTCCCTTATATACAGGGGTTGGCAAACATAGGTTTACAGTTGTAATATGAATAATACAATAATTAATAAGTAATAATATAAGAATTAACTCTGCCCTGGCCAGTGACTAAGTTGGTTGGAGCAACGTCCCATATACTGAAAGGTTGCGGGTTTGATCCCCTGTCAGGTCACATACCTAAGTTGGGGCATGTATGGGAGGCAACTGATCAATGTTTCTCTCTCACATAAATTATTTCTTTCTCTCCCTCCCTTCCTCTCTCTAAAACCAATAAGCATGTCCTCTGGTGAGAATGAAAATAAAAGAATAAACTGTATATTTTGCACTCACAACTGTAAACCTAGTTTTGCCTGCCCCTGTATTTAAGTGCATGCCATTTCATCACCATTCTGTATTTAACCTCTGCTCTCCAAATGATATAAGTGGGTTTAACTATGTCATCTTTACTCCGAAGTGATGCTCAAAGTATATTCCCCAGGCCAATAGCATCGGCATCACCTGGCAACATGTTAGAAAGGCAAATTCTCAAGCCCCACCTCAGACTTCCTGACTCAGAAAGTCTGCAGGTGAGGCCCAGCACCCTGTGTTTCAGCGAGCACTTCAGGTGACTCTGACAGGAGCTGCAGTTTGAGAATGACTGCTCTAAAAGCCCCCTTCTCAAGAGCATTTTATGTTCATGGGG